CTAACAAGGATGTTCCCAGGTTCTGCTGCATAGCCAGTTAATTTTACCCAGAGCTGTGGAGAATACAAACCTATGTTGGCAATATAGGTGGCATAAAGAGATGGATCTTATCTGAAAGAATTTGCTTTCCCTGTTTTTCTTCTTCAGCACAAACAGAAATGATAGAGAAAGGTTTGAACTGCAAATTCTTTGTAAGACAGCTTAGGCAGGAGCTGAAAACATGAACTCTGAGGTGTATTTTGTACCTTCTCTTTTTGTGTTCTGCTGCCCAACTCACCTTTAAAGCTTTATTTTTCTATTTAGCTACAAAGAGCTTGGCTTCCAGTACCACCTGTGTATAAGTGGGATTTTGCACAGTGGAATCTTATCTAGGGCTGCTGATATATGAACTACTGATGTACAAAAAGCTGCTTTGTTTCTGATATTATGCAAAATACAACTCTAACCTTCTTCAAATACAACTGTCTGGACAGCATTTCTAGTGGTGTTGAGACTGGGGGGGGACTACTCATCTATGTGATGTCGTTCTGCATGATGGAATATCAGGGACTTCCTGAGAGTTTATTGCATCTTCCAGATGAATCTGTCAGCTGAGAAGTTCTTTCAGTTTGGGGGGAGAGAATTATGTTTCATTTTGTTGTAAGACTCAAAACCAGGCATTTTGTGATATTTCTGGGAATCCAGAATGGAACTTCTCATCAAAACAAGAGAGAAAGTTTCAACTAGTCAGAGATGTGGTTGATGCGGCATTAACCTAGGACATAAAAGATTCAGGCTAACATTCCTGGTTTTCCCAGTTCTCACCAGGGAACACAAGTAACCTGACTGCTACATGGAGAAGGCATCTTGCAGTGGTAAAGATCTGTATCTTTGATTTGTTTCTTTACTTAAAACTATAGCAGGGCTCACATTTTGAACCATAACAGAAGAGAATCTCCCCATAGTTTCAAAACCTGACATCTGCTTCATGAGATAGATGAAACAGAACACACCTTTTCTGCACAACCCTAACTTAAAGATGATGCAGTGTTTTACACAGGTGAAAGTTCCTAGTCTTTCGAGTCTGGAAAGCAATGTTTTTCAGTGAAAGGCATCAGTGGCTTGCTTATGTCTCTACTCAAAAGGCCACGTGCAATTCCATTGTGTACAGGTTGGGAAGCATTTTGGGAAGGGTGAAACATAGTCCTGGGGTGAATAGTATATACAACAATTACCTAGCTATATCTTAGCACCTTCCACAAAGTGCTCCAACTGGGCACTGAGGGATACTCTCCAACTACAACGCACTAACATACCTGTTTCTAAAAGGCAGAATCAAAACCAGCTGCAGACCCACTGATATACCAGGAAGAGCAGAAAACCTCTTCAGGGAGCATGGATCCTCTCTACCTGCTCAGAATTTCCCACCAGGGTAACAGTTCTGCAATGGGGTAAGTGTTGGGGCTCTCCTCCCACTGACCAGCCTCAGCTCCCTTTGCAGGCAAAGAGCAAGTGGCACCAAGCAGCTCCCACTCGCATTGCTTAAGAACCAAGAGTAACCACAGGAGTCATCCACATCCAAAAGCCACAAAAAACCCTATTTATTTTCTTTCTCTAAAATAAAATAAACCCCATTATAATCATCCTAACCATAACTGATACTTCAGCCTGCAAACAAAGCTGCAGTGGGCAATAAATTAGACATGTCACTTCCAGCAACTCATCCCTGGAGTTGGCTGCTATGTGGCCGTAATATGCAAAGAGGCCTTATCCTGATGATCCTCAGCAGCAAGATTCCTTTTGCTGGCTCTTCTTTATACAAACACTCCTGTAAATTACACTTAAATCTAAATTTAGCATTCAATCCTAATTATTTTCCTCTAATTTAAGGTGGGTTTGGTTCTGGTAGGCTGATACACTGCCAGTGTTCATTTAAAAACCTTAATGCAGTTAACCCAACTCCAAATGTATGCATATGACGTCTCCACCACCTTAACTCACCATCATCACATAAAGCACTCTGAAGGAAAACAAGACCTTTTGTTTTCCAGGCAAATTGTTTTAAAACAATTTAAAAGAACAATATAAAACAATTTAAAAGAACAACAACAAAAATCAATGATGGGCAAAATAAGATTCTAGGATGTTATGAAAGACCAGCAAAATACACTGTGGCTGTGCCAAATCACAGCTGTAACATCCCATCGCTTCCCCCATCACCCAGAAGGATAAGAGAGCATTTTCAGTAAAGCCACAGAAAATGAAGGCTTACACATCTTTGATGTCCTAGAGATGGAGGAACATCTGAACCACTAATCTGGCACCATTTCTCTTTCATTAGTTTAAGTTCTGAAGAAGTTTGGATGGCACTGACTCTAGAAAGAGGGGTTAATTGTTTAACCTTATAAAACCAACAACACCTCTTTTGGTGCTGCTTTTTGGGCTGTTCAGTGTTTTTGGTTTCCCAAAGGATTTGAAGCTCAACAGCTGCTAAACTCCTCATCAAATACAGTACCTGTGGATTCACTAAACAAGGAACTGAGACTAGACTTTCAGATCTTTTACGATTTGGATCTGTTGAATGTACTCAAAACAATCAATACTGCACACATCCAATTCAATTCCTATCAGGAGGTGGTGTGGCACAGCTCATTTGATGTAGAACTCCTTCAAACAGTTTTTTTCAATCAGAATATGTTGCAGTTCCTTAACTATCTGTCCTCCTGTACGTTGTGAGCTATGTTATTTTACTCCCCAGTAAAGAGGTAGTTGAGTTGCGATGATTCCCTACTCTCAATAAAGCTGATGTTCAGTCCCACCTAGTCATTCACACAGATCTGTCTAGAGAGGTAAGAATCGCAACCTCCATTCTGGTCATTGTCTTTTAAAGCTCCTTCATGCTACTATGGTCCCCGTATATATTACTCTACTCTTCAGCAGTAACCACAGTGCACACTCACTCCTCCCATCCATTCTTGCACTCCAGAAATTATGCAGCCCTTTTCCTACACTTGATATAAAGAAGAAAACAAATGAATTAGGGAAGATAAAGAGGTGTGTTTTTACTTTAGACAGGAAAAATGACATGGTGGGAAGTGTTTAATCCAAGAGGTCAGATACTAACACTAAAAACTGAGTGAGATATTTAATGATACCCTTAATTAGCACGTACTTGGTTTACCTAACCAAACGAACTGGTAAAACACTTAACAGATTTATTTATGAAGACAGAAAGAGAGGAATAAACTATTTGGATGACAAAATCCCAGTAGCAGTCTACAGCAATTTCATGTCTAACTTTGCTGTCAGCAGGAGAGAGAAGGGTTTGTCTTTTCTGCTTACAGCAGGTACTAAGCTTCTGAGAATAGTGTTATTTGCTGACAATCAGTGGCTTTGTGTGCATATTTTCATACATATATATGTATGTAGATATGTACATTTATACACATACACACACAGAGCCAAGACAAAGGAGATGCTAACCTTCAGCCCAGCCTTTCAACAGTTGCCTCTCACAAGGAGTCTCAGTGAGCTGCATCTTTCATCCTCTGCCATTCTTCATGCATGTGTAAATAGAGATACAAAGTGGGAACTACAATGTCAGAACAATACACTTGTGTCATCGATCTCTTTGCCCTCATTTTGCAGAGATGCAAATGCCTTCATAAATATTTTCTAAAAGCCTAGAAAAAATTGCTCCAAGTTTCCTGGCCTCCTACTATCTGTCTTGAAACCCTCCAGGTTTTCAGTCTTCCAACAGCTTTGCTTCTAATATTAGCTCAAAGTTAGGTGCTGTCCTCCTTCAGCAGTGAAGGCAAGGTGACCCTGCCCATGGCAGGGGGTTGGAACTAAATGATCTTAAGGTCTTTTCCTATTCTATAGTTCTATGAGTCAATGTAGAACAAACTTTGTATGTTGAACATTCAACTCCATGCCACAGAGAATATGAGAATGTGTTTTTAGAAGCCCAACATGGAACCTGTCTAAGACCAAACCCAGTGCCTAAGATGGTCCTAGAAATTTCATTGACTTCAATGTGGCCTTGCTTAGGCATTCATTCCTCCTCCCACTGCATTATACTTTTATTTGTTTTCTCATCTTACATTAAAGTTAAATGTACATGCTCATAGATCAGATAGTAGTTCTGTCACACACATTTACAGTGCTTCAAATAAGAGGACCCTAGTTCATTACTAGAAATGTTGCACGCTATCTCAATCTAAAGGTTAATTACTATCACTTTACTAATGCTTACTGATACAGATCCCAAGCGCTATTTGAAACAGCACAATGTTCTATAGACATACAGAGCAAAAAAAACAGTATTACAACATGAACTGGTCCAAATTTAAAGTAACTGAGCTTAAAAATTATTTTTGACTGATCCTTGTTCATAGACGTGGTATAGAACAGGACATCCTGCTAATGGTGAGCTTTCAGCCAAGGAGTGCAGTGCAGTTTGCATAGTCCTGCCTGAACGCAGGAATAATGCATGACTTGGCCAATCACTGTCACCAAGCAGTGATGTGTACAAAGTGCAAAAAGCATTTTCATGTTTAAGAGGAAATACTTTAAATATTCAACAATCCTTGTCTTCTTAATATTGTTCTCCCAGGGCCTCAGCAGCTCACAGCCTCTGATGCCATGTAGCCGGGAAGGATGCTTGTCAGCAATTGTAGTGTGAGCAACAGCAGGAGGCTCCGAACAAACATGTGAAATAAAATGCTTATTCAAGAGACAGCACAATGGCTGTTTTCTAAGTGGCACGAAGCGCTTCACCCGGCAGGAGCCCTCAGATCTCTGCACTGAGCAGCTGGGTTGCACTTTGCTCCTATCAATAATAATGATAAATAATAATAACGATGGCAAAGTAAAAGGAAACTGAGCTCACAAGCTGTATCAGGTGGACTCCTGCATCTGAGGACACAGGGTTTAATTCCCGCACCTCTCCCCATGCAGCCCCCCTGCTTCCATAGGCTGGATGGGGAGCAGGGATGCAGGGCTGCCCTGTATCCAGGCAACGGGCATTGCTGAGGCTCTGCAAACCTCTGAAGTGCACAGGAGGACCAGCTGGGGCAGGTACCCCCCCGACTTCACAGAATGCGGAGAGAAGGAGCTTTTCCAATGGTAAAGAGTAAAGGCAGAGAGCAAAACAAGATCTGCACAATGAAAACACATTCTCAGGTCTCCCTGGGGCTGCTTTCCCTATTGAGAAGGTGCCTGGGACAGTCCGCAAAGCTTACTGTGACTTTCTCTTTTATTTCTCAGTGCTATGTATGCCCTCTTTATTGCAGGAAACACCTACTCCTATTGCAGGAACTCCCCATATTTACTAGCCACCTACAGGTAACGGTCTCAATTCCTAGAGTTGTGTTTTGGCCAGGCAAAACCTACTGATGTCATGATTAATGGATATGTACACATATCCCCAGGCTTCATGTGGTCTGTGGGAGAACAGGTCAGTTGAGTACAAACAACCCATCAATCGTACATTCACAAGGGGAAAAAGATCTTCATCAGTAAGGGAATAAACTTTTAGTGCTAGGGAAGTGAGTAGCAGCATTGCCACTAACTTCAGTCACATCCAGATTTCCTTTGTGGTGTTTTAGGCAGGTTTATTCATGATGCCCTGTTCTACTCTCCTCTCCTGTACTGCTGCTGTTGACAGAGATTGGGATGGTCTTGATTTGGCAGAGGTTCAGCGTTTGAGGAAAGACCAAAGAACACCATCAACTAAGAATGCTACGGACAAGAGCTACAAACCACACAAACTTGGTCTGTTAGCGTCTTCAATTCACAGGTGAGCTCCAGAACACTGGCATTCAAAAGACAAATCAGAGAGCATGAAGTTATTTGACAGAGAACTGGAAGGATGCTCATAGAGATGCTATATGTTCAGCTGTCTCCCAATTAATTGTTGGAGCTGCCATATGGACATCATATGATTGCAGATATACAGGGAAGAAGGATAATGAATAGAAGAAAGAAATGCATGGCAAATTGCTGCATGAAGGTGCTCTGATTGAAACCAGACTTAATTCAAAGAAACCCTGTGTCCAGTATGAAAAAAGAGGTCACAGTGGTCCTTTTCCACTTTACTCGATGCTGTCTCAGCATTTGAGGATCTCAGCCATAAATATTGTTCATGATACAACACTGTACAGCAAACACAACATAGTCCAACCTCCCTCATCGTCACAATGCTGATATACTGTCCAGTTGGAATGCTTGCTCTTATTTACCATAACTAGAAATGTTAAACACTGCCTAGGGGTGCATGAAATGCTTAGATGATCTTTAAGGTCCTTTCCAATCCGAAATCATTCCATGATTCTATGAAATGCTAAAACCAGGAGCACGCTTTGAAGCTTGGGAATTCTGATGGCTCCTGGTGTAATCTCAACTCCCTGCCTGTGCCTTCCCTCATCTCTTAACAATTTATACAGCCTTGGCAGATAGCTTCTTTTCCTTCTAGTAGTGACAGCTGTTATTGTAGGAGACAGCACAGTATAAAGCTACTCATTAAGGGAGGTAAAGAACTGCCTACCTGGAATACAGCGTCACCTCTAGTTGAACTCCAGAGAAAAAAATTAGATTGGATATAAGGAAGAAGTTCTTTACTGTGAGGGTGCTGAGGCACTGGAATGGGTTGCCCAAGGAAGCTGTGAATGCTCCATCCCTTGCAGTGTTCAAGGCCAGGTTGGACAGAGCCTTGGGTGACATGGTTTAGTGGGAGTTGTCCCTGCCCATGGCAGGGGGGTTGGGACTGGATGATCTTAAGGTCCTTTCCAACCCTAACTATTCTATGATTCTATAAAAACAAGTACAGCCCTTTGCTCCTTTGCGAGCAATGGCACAGAACATCAGAAGGGATTGGCTGAGACCTGGCTGCCAGGTACTTCAGGATTTCAATCTCAGTTTGCCCACCAATTTGCTCAGAGGGAAGGCAAAGCTCTCTTTATTTTTTACATCAAACCAGCTTTCACCCCCAAAATCTTACACATGTAAAGACTGTCTTGATCATATAAATCTCCTTTGCAGCCCCAATATGCCCTTTGTGCAAAAGCCCTTTGCGCAAAAGCCCTTTGCAACATTGCCTCAGTAAAAGCAAGACGACAACAAGCAGTTGACTGTGGCAAGGCTGAATAGCACCCGAGAATCTGGTGGCAGAGGAAAGGAGAAAGATAGAAGATGTGGAGCAGCTCAGTGATATGACACTCCTGTAAAGCTAAAGCATGGAGGTCCTTTCTGAGCTAAGGAGTGCTCCAGATCAGAGGTGACAGCAAAGACCCAAGGGGGCAACATAATACTGATCTATCATCTTTTGGGTGATATGGTTTAGAGCGAGGTGTCCCTTCCCATGGCAGGGGGGTTGGAACTAGATGATCTTAAGGTCCTTTCCAGCCCTAACTATTGTATGATTCTATGATCTAGGAAAACTCTGAGACATTCAGAGCACACTTCAGCGAAGCCCTACCACCACTGGCTTCTTCAGGACCTACAACTTTAAGCACCCGTCTAAGTGCTTTAGATAAAACAGGACAGATGTCTTAGTCCATTGCAAGACCAAACTCTTCCGCCTGACATAAATTGATCCCTCATTCAGAAGCTACAACCAAAATGAGCAGCAATGAAAGACACAACAGAGCAGCTCCGATGGAGAAGAAACCCAGAGCAACACTGATTGATTATTCCCAGAATGTCTTTCCCAGAAGCATTAATGCAGTACGTGCCTGGGACAGCAGCCCTGAGCAGTGCATGGAAACAGTTGAAAAACTCCCTGAGCCCTCCCTGCGCCCACAGACCTCCCTGCCTGATGAGCACATTAAAACAGTTCTGCAGAGCACTAGAGCCTGGGTCCCTAGTAAAAACAACATTCCCTTCCTGCATCTCCTCCCCTTTAAATCAAGCTCAAACCCCAGATCTGGGGGCACCTCCACTGTGTGTACAGTGGTATCTGTCCAACATTCCTCAGTAATAGCATCACTTGGGTTGGGGAGGAGGAAGCTGCACACTGGGGAAAAGCATCATATGAGAGATACAGTAAGGAGAGGCAAAATATAAACAATACCCATCAGAGGTTTCAAACAGAGCATTCTGCTGGGGCTGAGAGCAGTTATTTTAATGCTCAGCTACAAGTTACTGGAACACAATAAAGGAGAATTAGCAAAGAAAACATTTAATGGTGACTATAAGCACTTTATTCCTTGACTTACAGCTGAGAGCATTCAGTAACTCAGAGGTGGATGGGATAATAGGAACAAGAAAAGCTCCAGAAAACAGGCTAGCTGCAACTACAAGTGACAAAAGCAACTCATCAGCAGAAGCAAGAGGAATGTGCTAATGATCATTTTCCTGCCAGGCAAACCCCAGCTTCTCCAGCAATGGAGCACAAACAAATCTAGCAAAACCCAAGAAAAATTATCCTGCATCAATAACATCAGAAAGAACATAGAAAAGAAAGATCAACGGCTTCTGTTGTTCGGGTGACAAAACTAAAACAAAACAGAAGGGAAGAATTGCTTCAGATTGAACTGGAAGATTTGGCTTCTGAAACAAAACAATACAAAGGTATTTCTTCACATCAACTCTCCAGAGCTCTTCTGCAGTCTAAGACAAAACTTTATTTTCTTACATTTCCTAACTTGACAAAGCACTACACCAAACAAACCGAAACCTCATTACGTAAAATGTTTGGATCACATTTTAATAGGAAAATGTGGTTTTCATTGTTAAATGTTGAAAGGATCAGCTCTGGCATTTCTAAACCAAAAACGTGTTGCATTAAGAAATCTGGAAGTAGATGGTTTGGTGTTTACAAATATATATGTAACCCTTCTGTTCACTGAAACTATTTGTTTAGTTTCAACTGGATTTTATGATTTATGGTGCCTGTGAAGATTTTGGAAATAAAGGCTTGTGTAATTTCTGTCCTTCATAAGAATGATCTAGCACATAAATGTGATTCACAGACTTGATACACACAGCTGATTTTCTATTCACAGGAGAAGAAGCATCAGATCACTGCACTTTTCACCAATTACCATCATTCCTGATCAATAGAATCATAGAATAGTTACGGTTGGAAAGGACCTTAAGATCATCAAGTTCCAACCCTCCTGCCATAGGCAGGGACATCTTGCTCTAAACCGTATTATCCAAGGCCTTGTCCAACCTGGCCTTGAACACTGCCAGGGATGAAGCATTCACAACCTCCCTGGGCAACCCATTCCAGTGCCTCACCACCCTAACAGGAAAGAATTTCCTCCTTATATCCAATCTAAACTTCCCCTGTTTAAGTTTTAAGCCATTACCCCTTGTCCTACCACTACAGTCCCTAATGAAGAGTCCCTCCCCAGCATCCCTTTAGATACTGGAAGGCTGCTCTGAGGTCTCCACGCAGCCTTCTCTTCTCCAGGCTGAACAGCCCCGACTTCCTCAGCCGGTCTTCATACAGGAGATGCTCCAGTCCCCTGATCATCCTCATGGCCTCCTCTGGACTTGTTCCAACAGTTCCTTGTCCTTTTTATGTTGAGGACACCAGAACTGTACACAGTACTCCAAGTGAGGTCTCACGAGAGCAGAATAAAGGGGCAGGATCACTTCCTCGGACCTGCTGGTCACACTCCTTTTGATACAGCCCAGGATACGGTTGGCTTTCTGGGCTGCAAGCGCACACTGAAGCTGGCTCATGTTCATTTTCTCATCGAAATAGAAATAACACACAGGAAAAGACGAAGATCTCAAGAAGCTAAGGCAGCACTTTTTGCTTTGTACACCTAACACTTGGAACAACTGAGTACCCCTAGGGTTTTATATTGCTAATTCTAAACATTTGGATTCAGGTTTACACTTACTTCTAGCTAGTTTGAAGCTGTCTTGTTATAGAATCATCAGAGAACCACAGAATGCTTTGGGTTAGAAGGGACTTAAAGCTCATCCAGTTCCAACCCCCTGCCATGGTCAGGGACATCTTCCACTAGAGCAGGTTGCTCCAAGCCCCATCCAACTATATCTTTAAAAACCCCAAACAAAACAACCAAACAATAAAACAACCAAAAAACCCCATTTCATTGCTCCTCTCTTAAAGACAGCCTCACTTATCCCCTTTTCCTGAGATGAAGACGTTGAATATCGTCAACTTTGTCCACTGTGCAGTCATACAAAGCTGCTAGAAGAATCTGTATAGCTTTTCCGTACTGATCTTCAGGTATTTTTAATGGCCATAAACTTTATTCATGTAAGTAGTCTGAACATAAAGTTCTTTATTTTGAACATTGGGTTTTGGCAGAAGGAGATGGAATAGCAGAATTCCAACTCCTGGTTCCAATCAGTTCAGTGAGAGCTTAGCCTTCAGTGCTGCTACCAGATAATGTACAAAACTGGGAGATGGAAAAGGAAATGGAAAAGCAAAGGCAGTTCTGGCAAGTGAGCCCACTTTCCAGTAACGTGATCCACGCACTAAGCCAACTCAACTAACAGGCCAACAACTTGCGATAAACTTATAGCTCCATTCCGAAAGCTGAACACATAAGCATGAGAAAGAAAAGGACAAACTGATTCTTTTCCTTCTTGTTGACCGAATGCTTGTGGGAGAAATAAATTAAAATTGAAGATATTATTTTTAGGCTCCTTAAAATGCACTCTTGGATGTACTTCGTAGCCACAAAGGTTATAAATGGTCTGGGGGAGTCCATGCCAAATTCTGCCTCAACATACATATTATCTGTATTGCACTAGGTATCTGTAAGTCTCCATCATCAGCAAGGGCTACTGGGGTAGTAGGGAGGAATGCCCAAGACTGATATCCACCCCTGCCACAGAACATGGGAAACCAGTGGGTTGGGTAGCCATAAACTCTAAGACTCATCAAGAGTCACCAGGGAAAGGTGCCAGAAACAGTCTGAAATAGCAATGAAAGAAAGCCAGTTCCCAGGAAAACCTTCCTTCTGCCCTCCTGAGCCCAGGGGCTGGCTCGTGCCATGCAACAAGGAGGGATTGAGTCTGTTAAAGCTATTTCAAGCCAGTGCTACAGCCCATCTGAAAATTCGCACCTAGTGAGTATTGGGGGATTTGAAACTAAACCTTCCCCAAATGATTGAAAATGGATGTTTATGTTGTTTAAACATACTTCTTTGGGATTGATTTGATTTTGCACATGTTGCTGAGAGGTTGGTTCATTCATTCATGTGCTGCGCTCTGATTTTTCAGGCAAGTAACAGCTATAGACAGTCCTCTGTTCAGCTCAAGACATCCTGATGCTGGGCACTGAAGCTAAAATACGGGCAGAGCACTGCCATTATATCCCCCATGTCATCGGCCACAAATTGCCTGTGTGTCACCCCTACCTCACAGTTCCTGCCAGAGAGCCCTGAACATCCCCCACAAGCAAGTCTAAGGCTGTTCAGTCCATGGTTTCTTATCTGCCAGCTCTGTCAACAAATGTAACATCTGCCAAGGATGCAGTTCACATCCATTAGGAGCTCACGGGAGCATAAGGCATGTTACAAAGGACAAAGCAGCCATTAGGTTGTCATTATCTTCACTGTGCACAAGCCTGTCCAGCAGCTGACCTGCATGTAGGCACAAGAATTCTCAAGGCTTTGCACTAAACACACACAGCAATGTTAGCAAGAAACCCGAGGTCAGGGTTTAAAACAGGTCAGAGCATTCAAGAGTAACAATAACCTTTTTCATATTCTGCAAGTTTAAAACTCAACTAGTTTTCAGTTACTTTTTTCTTTTTTAATGTAAAATCATAGAATCCCAGACAGGTTTGTGTTGGAAGGGACCTTAAAGCTCATCCAGTTCCAACCCCTGCCACGGGCAGGGACACCTTCCACTAGAGCAGCTTGCTCCAAGCCCCTGTGTCCAACCTGGCCTTGAGCACTGCCAGGGATGGGGCAGCCACAGCTTCTCTGGGCACCCTGTGCCAGCACCTCAGCACCCTCACAGGGAAGAATTTTCTCCTAATGTCTAATCTAAATCTCTTCTCTGTCTTAGTTTAAAGCCATTCCCCCTTGTCCTATCACTTCCTGCCCTTGTAAAAAGTCCCTCTCCAGCATTCTTGTAGGCCCCCTTTAGGTATCGGAAGGATGCAAATTCAAATTTAGGCATTGGAAGAATACCATTCAAAAAAAAAAAAGCATAGGCATTTCTTGAATGGCAGGTTTTCATGTGAGGATAAGGAAGTTCCAGATTATTTCTTTCCTTTTCCCTTCTCCATTCCTGCTTTATAATAGAAATGAGGAGCAACAGGGAAAAAAATGAAGATAGACCCTCCAGAATGAAAACTTTTTCATCTTTGGGCTTCCCCAAAAGAAATGCAAAGTTCCTACACCAAATACTTCTATCAACAACAGAAAAACTTATCAGCTGAATTACCTTACTTATGCAGACAGGGGAAAAAAGGCAGGCAGGAATCAAGCTGCTTCTCACTGTCAGAACGCAGGCTAAGCACAGAGCTAGTAATTGAATGCAAAACTCTCCAAACCCACTTCAGTGCTTATAGGGTAATACTGTCCTTAGTACTGATTTCAATAGTTATCACCTTTCACTGATCCCAGCTCTTACTCGTAAGCCCAAGGAAAAAAAGCTTCAATACCAGCACATCTACCCTTCTTACATCTTAGCTTCCTGAGAAATCTCTGCAGTGCAAGAATGGTGCTAGCAGCTCTTAAGCTAAGTCCCCAGCTTCACTCAATGCTTTCCAAAAGTCACAAATCAAAAGCAAATGTACTCCTGGAGGTCTCAAAATAAGTGATGCAAAGCCTTCAGTGCCTGAGTGACGCCAGATCTCAGCTGCTCCATCGAGGATCAGCACGATGATGAAAGGCAGCTTTGCTTTCCTGCCCTGTTACGTTGAGTAAACCCCATTTTCCCTTGACAAAGCACTTTTCCTGTGATATAGTCAGAAAAAGCTTTAAATTACCACTGTAGCATTGGAGTTAAGTGACAGGAACTGACACAGATGCATTTCCTCTTCTTTCATTGTCATTTACAAGTCACACAAGTTGCTGCCTCCATAGGAAAATGTGCACAGCCAAAACCAGTCCTCACATGTGCTATGGTTATCTTCAGAAGCACCAGCTCCAGACCTCTGGGGGAATATCTCTCAGAAGGTCAATCCATCTCCCATGGATCCCTGTGGCTATTTGTGTCACCTCTAGATCCATAAGGAACAGAAACAGCAAACATGTCCCACATCATCAGCAGCCACTTACAGCCTGAGAAATTACCTGACAGCACCTTCAACATCAGGAATTAGGAGCTGAAATCTCCTTCTACCCCAACCAAGAGCCTAAGTGGTGCTCCTCGCCACCAGAAGCAAGATGGGAATGGTGCTGGCCACATGGTCTGCCTGCTCTCTGGATGCATCACTGACCCAACACTCAGCCTTTACACTCATCTTTCACTTGTAAAGGTGTATATGTCATCGTTGGACATGACAGTTACTGGGACAACAGTTCTGGTGTCCTCAACATAAAAAGGACATGGAACTGTTGGAACAAGTCCAGAGGAGGCCACAAGGATGATCAGGGGACTGGAGCACCTCCTGTATGAAGATAGGCTGAGAAAGTTGGGGCTGTTCAGCCTGGAGAAGGCTGTGTGGAGACCTCCTAGCAGCCTTCCAGTATCTGCAGGGGGCCTATAGGGATGCTGGGGAGGCACTCTTCATTAGGGACTGTAGTGATAGGACAAGGGGTGACAGGTTCAAACTCAGGGGAAGTACAAGTTAGATATTAGGAAAAAAATCTCTGTGAGGATGCCGCAGCACTGGCACACATTGTCCAGAGAAGCTCCATCCTGGCAGTGTTCAAGAACATGTTGGATGGGACCTGGAGCAACCTGCTCTAGTGAAAGGTGTCCCTTCCCCTGGCAGGTATTGGAACTGGATGAGCTTTAAGGTCTCTTCCAACAGAAACCGTTCTATGATTCTATAAATGTGAGCAGACTGTAACCAAAACACAAGGCCTGGGAAACAATAGCTGTTGGGGTAGAAACGTCCCATTTATCTGTACAGTGTTAACTCAGGCATCCAACAACATGTCAAAAGCTATTAGCTGCTTCACTGCTAATTTGGGAACCGAGCACATGAGTATCACATCATTCCACACCACTTGCTGTGAGTGGTATCTCCTCTTTGTACCACATTAGACAGCATTTGGGAGGAACCAAATTACCTTTTGTGAAGAAAAACCTATGTGAGGATATTCTCTTGTCATACTGGTACAAACTTCAGGACCTTAGGAAAGCTCAGGAGGCTTCCACAATTTTATCTCTAGGATAAGCACAATTTATCATAAGGGAAAGATCCCCTTGGAGACTCAGTTTGTAGAGATGTGAGAGCAGCACAGCTTCTCTAAAAAAATCAATTCGTGGTCTAAAGGAAAATGAAAGAAAAATAGAACTTTCTCAATATAGCTGCTTCCTTTGGTCAATGAAGTCACTATTTTCAGGCTTTTTCAAAAACACAGAACCTTTAAAAAGTCCTACCTCCATTTTCACAGAAATCCATTTTCTCTAAAAGTTGTCCAATTGTTCAACATTTTAAAGAGTAAAAAGCGTATATTGCTGGAGTATATAATAATAATAAGAGTAATAATAATAATAACAATAATAATAATAATATAAAACAATTTCCTGCAAAAAAGGGGTATTTTCCATTTTTCTACTCCTGTAACCACACCTCAACATAACACAAATTGAATGTTATGATATGATGGTAGTAAATGAACTCCAAAATTTGTTGCTGCTATTTCTAAGAGGTTCTTGGGGTTTGCCTGCATTTGTTCTTAAGAAGTCAGTAACATTTATCAGTTGCTGAGCAGATTTTTACAGGGAGAATCAACAGGGCCTCATAAGGAGTCAGAAGTGATGGCAAACATAGGGAGCAGCACTAAGGACTGTATCCCAGTTACTGAACCCGCTGGGCTGGATGGGGCTTTGAGCAATATGGTCTAGTGGAAAGTGTCCCTGCCTATGGCAGGGGGCTGGAACTGGATGAGCTTTAAGGTCCCTTCCAACCCAAACCATTCTATAATTGTAGGATACGAAAGGAAACAAGAGGAAGAGCGCCCAAGTCTTTTGCTTACATGCACAAGAGTTCATTTGCTCCTTCCCAGCTCCCAGACCTATGCTTTTCCTACTCTAGACTCTACCTCTGCTTTCTGGAGTCAGGGAATTCAGCCTTATTTATTATGCTCATGTTCCTTTGCACAATGTGCCCAGTGGATTTGTTTGGAGTCCACACTTACTTCCACAAAGCAGGCAGTTTCTATTCATCCCAAGGGACAGTTGCACCAGGAAACAAAAACCAAACCACAGGGGTGTTTTCAGCCCTTCTCCTTTGCTGGTGCATGTTCTGACCCATCCCTGCTGCCTGTAGGAGCACCTCAGCCTTTAAAATACTGCTGCACAAAGCCATTGCTCCTATGGGCTCAAATGTTTCAACTGCCTTTGGGCATCATTGGACTATGGTCATCCCCAGTAGTGGTCATTGAGCAGAGCAGAGGAATCTGGTGGCCCAGACTGGAGCATGCCCCTCAGCACATCAGCAGGAATGGACCAAGCACAGGCTGGAAGCAGGAGGTTCAAGTCTCTGAAGCCCCATGTCCTCACCTAGCACAGTGCAATAATAATTTATTGCCATTTCATAAACCATGTTTACAGGCACTGGGGAGAAACAGAAGCCCCAGTTCAGCAGCACTGGTTTTGTCCCAGGTCTTTATCAAAACCCTTAAAATTCTGGTGAAAAAAGGTTTTCACCTCTTAACATTGAAATAGGTATTTGAAATTTGGTGGGGAACACCCTGAGAGAAAAAGGCAGGATCCCCACGTAAGAGTCCAGGCGTGCTTGCATCAGAACTGGAACATACACTGAATAGACGGTAGATAGTGGATGAAAAGGGACAGAGGGGCACTCTGTGCCTCTATGGCTGAGAATCCTCTTAAGCAAGGAAAAAACAAAAGGCAAGGAGGATTATTAATGAGTTCAAGACGCATAAAAATGTTCCTGTCATGGTTGCTGAGCCTCATTTGCTCTCCCTGCTTTGCCTAATCACCTACACTGTGACAGCGGAGCCAAAGCAAAATCTTTTACACAGAGCAATGTATACATACACTTTACTTCCACAAAAGCAGAACAACTTCTGGCAAGGAAAAAAAAGAGGGGGAAAAAGGAAAAGAAAAAAAAAGGCAACTGTAAAAAATCAATTTTTTAGAAAGAATGCAGCATGATGCCATTTTCCTTATATGGGAACTGGTATCCCATGTGGAGGCTCAAACAATAGCCAGCTTGGCAGGGGGGGCAGTAAGAAGATGACTTGAGGGGGGGAAAAATTATAGAGATATATATTCCCTGCTGGCCCTCACCCTCCATTTCCTGTTGGATTTCTTTGTGACTGCACTGAAAGGGGTCAATGGCTCCCAGCTTGAGAAAGGCAGCTTTTGAAAGGACTATCACCAGCATCTGTATTTAAAGCATGCCTTTTACTTCACAGCCTCCCCCCCCCCCCCCATAGCTAATGCAGAGCTTTTAAGAAGCAAGCAGCAAGATAAACTTGCAGGGAGAAGGAGAAGGGAAGAGTAGAGGAGGAACAGTGCATGTCTGCCTTGGGTTTGCTGACACCTTCGCTGCAGTAAAGCTTGATTGGCATGCAGGGACAGGAAACATAAGCTGCAGACGATCTAAAGTGCTACGGATCATTACCCCTTGCTTCAGTCACCACCTCCCCATCCTTTAATGCCTGCTACAAAAGCACATGAAGCAGCCAAGCGCCAGGCTGGGAAAGGATTCCAACTGATTAAAAACAATGGGCAAATTAGCACTGGACTGACTGAACACATCAACCATTCACACACATCACATTTGCAACTCTATCTATCTTCAGTGTTTAGGAACTTCTGATCCTACAAACACAGGCTTTAAATAGGCTCAATTCATTTATCTTGAAAATGAAAGAGTGGACCAGTGGCTAAGTTTATATTTAAGGTTTCTATTTGAGGGAATGCACCGGAAAAGTTAGAGGCAGGGATTTACTGGGAGGGACGAAGAACAGGACTGGATGCTCCTTTCATGCCAGTGGACACAGCCCATGTGGAAGGCTGGCACATACACGGGTTTTCAGCAGCCCTGGCTCTGCTTTGCATTGCAACCTAGGTCAAACATCCAAATGCAATTATACTGCAGTTGCTTTCTGTATCAGGATATGGTTTTAATTCACTCTGGGAGAGGATAAATCCAAGTGTCCACACAAAGTGTTCCTACAGATCAGCTGCTGCTCCAGGTCTGAACAGGCCAAAACTCCATCTAAAGAAACTGAGTAACAGTTCTTATTACTAAAACTTTTCTGAATTTGAGGGGCAAAATGGGTGAAGAAGGAAGCTCCACTTTGTGTTAAGTGGAGACAGACTAATAAGACCTATGGATTTTCAGCTCCAATTTATCTGACCTTATTTGACAGTAAACGCCAGCAGACATCCAAGACAAGCCAGAAACTCACGGATGGAAAGGTGCGTTGGTACCTTCAGCAGCACCACAGGCAGCAAACAGCTATTTCATGTAGCTCCTACCAAATTGTCCTAGAGAGAAACCAAAAATGAGGCCAGAGAATGCTCCAGAAACAGAGAAGTAAATTGCCTCTGAGAGTCTCCAGCACAACCAGCATTTCACTTCAGTTTCCAATCATACCATCTTTCTCACAGGCATTCAAACACGTTAGTCTGTGCCTTATCAGATCCTCCATTATGACTGTAGAAAAGTCTGAGAACTCTGTAGTTCAGAGACATTTATGGGGCTGTAATAAGCACTGACAGATAAGCCACAGTCATGCATACAAGCTTGCAACTGGTTTAACACAATAAAGCCCTAAGCTTTCATAAATACAGCATAGGAAACAGAATCCTCCCATCCCCTACTACTAATTGCATCGGCAGTGGTCAGGGGTTGAAGGAGAAGTAAGCAGATTAATTCTATTAGACTGTGCAATAGTATCCCAAGGGGAAAAGGGAAAATCCCATCATTTAGAACAGGACTGGTAGACGCTGATGGGAATGATGTTACATACTAGTAGGGGATTAAGGGTTTGGACTAAAGGGCTTCGTCTTCTCTAGATCTGGTTTCCACCAGTCATAGTGATTAGAACTGTTTGTTTGCTTGGGGCCCTTTTCACTTTTGGGTGACCTGAAACATCTCGCCTAGTTGAAAACTAAATGATCAGATGAATTTGTCACTTAACCCCTTCCCCCCAACATATGTTCCTTTATCCCTTTTCTTAAAAAGCTCTCTGTTTATATTTAGGTGATTTTCAATATAAAATTGTTTTAGAACAAGAGGTCCAAATATTGTTTTATTAATAGATCATATGCAACGTTTTGCTTTTTTCAGCACATTCCTCCAACACTTGTAGCCTATATTTATCTCAACCATATGAGCAATCTGTACATTTTTGCTGAAATATATTCCCTGTGCTGTAAATACAATGCAAGGTTTCACCCTAACAGATATAGCAGGCAGAGGTGACAAAGCCCCTCTTGAGCCAAATGAATGAAAGAAATTCCTCTGCTCAGTCCCTTGCAGCCTGCTCTGAGCATTAGGAGCACCTCCCTCCTTACCTGTGTGCTGCTTTGAAGGGGCAGATCTTCAGAGAAATACTTGTTCTCCTCAAGAAGTCAGGTCGTAACACACATGCATCAGGCAGGATCCTTGCTCCAGGTCCTTATTGCCGTGATCCAGCCTGGTCAACCTGTCAGAAACAGCCATGAGAAATACATGAGACACATGGCTCCACACTGGGCTTGAGTAGAAGACTGTGACCTTGCTTTACAAACTCCTTGCTTAGGTAAAGATGGCAGAAAAGGACTCTTCATCAGGGACTGTATTGATAGAACAAGGGGTTGCGGGTTCAAACTTAAACAGGGAGAGTTCAGGTTAGATATAAGGAAGAATGCACAGGGTCCCCAGAGAAGCTGTGGCTGCCCCATCCCTGGCAGTGTTCAAAGGCCAGGTTGGATGGGGCTTGGAGCACCCTGCTCTAGTGGAAGGTGTCCCTACCCATGGCAGGGGGTTGGAACTGGATGAGCTTTAAGGCCCTTTCCAACCCAAACCAATCTGGGATTCTATGATAGGACAGGACCAACAAGAAGAGATGCAGCGAGTCCCCTGAAGGCAAGTGCCAGAACAGAGGATGGAGTAGTGCATGTGTGAAAAACCAAAGGTAGTTAAATGTTTAACACACACACACACACACACACACCAAACTCCTGTATTATATGAAACAAATATAAACACACACGTTCACTTGCTGGATAGATGTTACAGTACAACTGTACCCTGAATGGAGGGAGCCAGAAAAGACTGAGGATGAAAAAGAGGGCAAAGTGATGGAGCTGAGAGGCAGGCAAGGGTGGGATGAAGATACCAACAAAGCCAGGAGGAGAAGAGTTCAGTGGGAGATGCTCAGGTGGCAAAAGCATTAAGCAAGCAAAAGAAGTAGGAGCCTATGGAGAGGCAGGAAAGGCCAGCGGGAACACAGGAGGGATCATGCCAGATCTTGTCTGCTTTCTCCTTGTGGAAGTCAGGCAGAGCCAGGGCCTGGAGGTGGAGCCTGTACTTAGAGCAATCACCCCGTAACGGCTTCTCTCTGGAAAACAGCACCGAGCCTGGATCTCATTCTCCCTGACAGCTCCAATTCAGATACGAGGCTGGCGCCATGCAAATCCATTTCAGGGTATTACTTCTCTCCTCCCCAGTCTACCTTGCTGTTTTGCTTTCTTTTGAAACCAAACCCCTTCACTCTGCCCAGCCTCTCTAGCAACCCAACGCCAATGCCATGTGTCCACATACAGGATCAGGGAGCATCAGTGCCCCTACACACAAACAACACTTGGAAGCTCCTTTAGGGTCAAGAAGAAAAGCTGAGACAGAAGGTCTTTCACAGCATCTCCTTCCATCAGCCCTGAAAGACACTGAAACAGGGCTGCAGCTGGACATCTCCAGCTCCCATCCTCTATCATGCTCTCTGGAGAATTAAAGCCATACTGAGCTGGACGAACAGCCCTATGTCTATCCACTAGATGAAAAAGCAACTAACAATCCAGCTGGGAAGTGCTAATGTTACACCAGACCACATGAAAAGAAATTCCTGCCATGCATGTGGGTATCATCCCTCTGTCAGCAGCCCTCTGCTCCTCTCTATTTCACATTGCCCCAGGACAAGCCCAGGTCATGGGAGGGAATTCTCCCCCTCTATTACTCTCACATGAGACCCCAACCTGCAGTCCTGCTTTCAGCTCTGGGGCAACAGCACAAGAGGGATGTGGAGCTGTTGGAGCAATTCCAGAGGAGGCCACAGAGATGCTGCAAGGGCTGGAGCAGCTCCGCTCTGGAGCCAGGCTGAGAGAGCTGGGCTGGGTCAGCCTGGAGAAGAGAAGGCTCCTGAAGGGGAGACCTTAGAGCAGCTCCAGTGCCTAAAGGGGCTGCAGGAAACCTGGAGAGGGGCTTGGGACAAGGGCCTGTAGGGACAGGCCAAGGGGAATGGCTTGAACCTGCCAGAGGGGAGACTGAGATGAGCTCTAGGCAGAAGCTCTTCCCTCTGAGGGTGCTGAGGCGCTGGCACAGGGTGCCCAGAGAAGCTGCGGCTGCCCCATCCCTGGCAGTGTTCAAGGCCAGGATGGACACAGAGGCTTGGAGCAAGCTGCTCTAGTGGAAGGGGTCCCTGCCCATGGCAGGGTTTGGAACTGAATGAGCTTTCAGGTCCCTTTAACCCAAACAATTCTATGATTCTGTGACAAGGGAAAGGCTCCATGGGACACAGGAGCACAGCACACCACAACCAGCCACAGACCCCCTGTTGAAAAGAGCTTTGCAGCCTCATCATTCATCTTACATGCACTAGAGGAGGAACATGGTGTAGTGAGCAGAACAGGGCCCCACCAAACAGGTACTCAGATGTTCTCCTTGCCCCTATCTCTAGAGGGCTCACAGGCTTTCAGCTGGACTTCATCTTCCTGTGGGTCTTTGTTTAAAGCCTCTTCCCTGCTCTGCTCAGCCTGGCATTTCAGATACATGCATACTTGTTAAAGAGGAAGGGGACATACTCAAGAGGTGCAAGTGCTTACATGTAAGAAATGTATGCATCCATGTACTGCTGCACAGGACAAAGTGCTGCCTAATAGAAACCGATCTCACTGAGCATGGTCCTGCTTGTTTTAGACATGTGGTATTGGATAGTAACTCCCAGCCTCTGGAAACAATGAGGAAAAACAAGCCTAATTTATTCAGGTTTGTAAAGTGCTCTGAAACCAGAAGATGGAAAGTGTTGTTGACAGTCCTCAAATATTTGATTCAATGGCATCTTTAGTACCAATTTTCCCTTTCCATTATGGAAGAGCCATGATGTCCGTACAGGCAAACCCCATTCTTTCTCTATGACTCTTCCAGCTGATGTACCATTGTGAACAGAAGCAGAGAGCTCTAACATATTTAGGGTCACTAACACTGTATTTAGTCTTCTGTGCATACTTGCTCAGATGAGAGATTTCAATCACCTCTATTCAAGGAACATTAAGCAACAGAAGACATCTCAGGTCACCTAAATCCTCCTCTCTAGTGGAGGATCATGCCTCTCCCTTCCACTCACTTTGTAGCTAATCCAATTGAGAGTATCTCAAGCAGTGGAAATATTCTCTTTCTCTCTTAGAATCTAAGTCTGACAGGGACCTGTCTTCAGGACTTGTTACCTGCATAAACAGTCTGATTATGGGTTTTAATTGTGATTCCTTTGTACCCCACTAGAGCAAAAGCAGGAGCATGTGTGAAATGTGAATAAGGACATTAAAACCCATGCTGATGCAGATTGACCGAGGGACAGCAGAACCACGAGATCCAACACTCCTTTAGCCCCATAGGTGCATTATCAATAGAGCCAGGGGACTACGGGTCATCTGGGCTCAATACATTCTTAATATGAAAACAAAAATAAACAGAAGCTTAACATGGAATTTCTCCTGGTTAGTTGCCCTGCTCTTACATTCACTCTAATCACTGCTGGCTGCTATCAAACACAAGAGCTTGGGTTAGACAAGATCTGACCCAGCCTTGCAGCTCACCGGTGCCCCTTCCTCAACACTGCAGTGTGATATACCCTTGGGGCTTCAGGTTCTGTTGCTCCCGAGGTTGGTCTGACTTAAGGGGTACAAAAGACCCTGCTGGAATTAAGCTTTGTTATTATTATTATTATTATTATTATTATTACTATTATTCTATTTTAAATCCAGCCCTCATCGCAGCTTCCTCCCACTTCAAAGTTTGTTTGCTTTGAGGCCCCAATGGTGTTGTATCTTACAAATGACTTTTCTTTTTGTTGCCTTCTATACTTCTACAATCATACACATGTTTGTCTAAAGGCACTTAATCAAGCATAAGGAACACGAGTTTGCACTATATAGTGACACGGAAACCAGGAGGAACACAAAGCATTCCCATTTTACATTTTATACATCACAAGCAACACCAAAACAGATGTAAAACAAGCCAATTCCTCATTACATTTTCCACTTCCCACAACACAAATCTCTGTGCATTAAACACAACTGAAAGCGAGCTGTGGAGTTGGCATTAGCTTGACAGATGCCGATGAGCTGCACCAGAAAGGAATATCTCAGCCCGAAAACAGTGCATGTTAAAAAGGCATCTGCTTATTGTTTGATGCATGTATTTATTTACACAGACAGCTTGCTGACACGCTGAAAGGTTGGGGAGGGTGGTGGAGGCTGGCATTTTTAACTCTCAACATGCATTTTGTTACCCTTTGGTCGTGTCCCAAGCTTCCATTCTATTGCTGAATGGTGGCAACAAGGGGGAAGCAGGGTCCTCTCTGCTGTGTAGACTTGGCTCCCCTCCCGGAGCTTGCCCTTACAGCACACAAGGCAGCACTTCCAAGCTCAGCCTCCACAGGCATGCTGCCCCCAGGGCTCCCCCTCCAGCTCCTGGGGCCTCTATGCCTTTGATATAGACATGAGAAGAGTCCCTCACAAGCCAGTCAAGCACAGCTTCTTGTGCATTAAAAAGAGATCTTCTTTAACAAGAAAGAAGATTAATTAAGTGGGTAAAATCCCACAGGTTGGAACAGCAGCTGAGGAATTATCTTTCTATCAGGTTGGTAATGAGGACTGGAGAAAAAAACCCACCTCACACAGACATTAACAGCTTTATACGGGCTCATTGGCATTCCAGATCAGATGCGAGGCTTGGCTTTCCCAGGAGCAGCAGATGCAACTCCAGTTACAGACCAGACTCTGGGCAAACTACAGTTTGCCCTGCTGAAAACAGCATCGCCACGATGCCTGACTGTGAAAGGTACAAACCTCTCTCACAATTAACTTCTTTCCCCACAGAAACAATGCCCAAGGAGATTGTAGGTCACAGCATCCAATGCCTCAGGTTGATCTGACGCACCTCCAAAACCTGTGTTCAGATATATAAGAGCACATGTGTGTGAGAGAGATTTAATCAATATATATTGGGGAATGTGAACAGCCAGCACATGTATAGGTGCATATCAAATGTCATGATCAAGAACTGACCAAATCCACCTCTTTTACCATACTGATTTCCCTACCGACACTGCTGGCTTCTTAACCTTTAACACCCACAAGTACTATCAAATTCTAACAAATTAATGTACAGTATTTCCTTTTCCATTGCAGGGAATAATGTCCTGATTTGGGGTCAATGATGGAATGG